CCTGGTCTAATGGTGGACTTAGTCTCATTTAATGACTGCTGCAGACGTGTTATGTTGGCAAAGTTTATCTGACTAAAAATGACAAAGCCGATTTCTTCTTCCTCCGCTAGACTGTTGCTACATGCGACTCCTCTGCGTTACCCCCATGTGCAGGCTCCTCTGCGTTACCCCCCATGTGCAGGCTCCTCTGCGTTACCCCCCATGTGCAGGCTCCTCTGCGTTACCCCCCATGTGCAGGCTCCTCTGCGTTACCCCCCATGTGCAGGCTCCTCTGCGTTACCCCCCATGTGCAGGCTCCTCTGCGTTACCCCCCATGTGCAGGCTCCTCTGCGTTACCCCCCATGTGCAGGCTCCTCTGCGTTACCCCCCATGTGCAGGCTCCTCTGCGTTACCCCCCATGTGCAGGCTCCTCTGCGTTACCCCCCATGTGCAGGCTCCTCTGCGTTACCCCCCATGTGCAGGCTCCTCTGCGTTACCCCCCATGTGCAGGCTCCTCTGCGTTACCCCCCATGTGCAGGCTCCTCTGCGTTACCCCCCATGTGCAGGCTCCTCTGCGTTACCCCCCATGTGCAGGCTCCTCTGCGTTACCCCCCATGTGCAGGCTCCTCTGCGTTACCCCCCATGTGCAGGCCCCTCATATAGGGTAAGGTAAGTCACCCGCTGTAGTATCATCCACAATTCACGTGTTCATTTTACATTTGGGATTATATTTAAAATGTAACAAAACCAATTGATTTCTTTCAAACTATTTACAAGCGACACAAATACAAGACAACAACGCACTGCTCTCCCAAGTCATACAAAAGTATTAAATATGAAGAGACTGAGGGACCGTTTTCTTAGATACACGGAAGGAAAAAAAACCGTTAAATACATCCACATGTGAAATAGACAACTTGACGAATCCAGTCTCTCCTTTCCTCTTTGTGGCCCATTGGCCCAACTCCCCCCCAGGCCAGAGACATCCAGCGAGAGATCGGGAATATTTTATATTACAGATAAATAAAAACAACATTATTATTATTCCATTTCGGATTGAAGAATGACATAGAAGAGCGGGCTCAGTCAAAACTTAATGATGGATTTTTGTGCCCCTAAAACGCAGCGGAGATGACTGAGGTTTCTTTCATATTTGCTTTGTATAGACGCCATTCTTGGTGCAGTTCTGTAGATCCAAATCACGTTCTCTTTACAAATCATTACCGTCACAAGCACAACTAATGGACATGGATCAAATACTTTTATGGCAGTTCAGCGCACTTCCAGAACCATTTCATTTCTCAGGTTTTTGTCCCGTCAAAGTGTACCAAGCGATGGCTGACGTAGGGACAGATGTACCTATGTGTCAGGCGGGCAGATCCCCCAACCCACATGGGAGTGTTAGCCGCAGTTTAATTTAGATTATGGGGTCCGGTCTGCACTGCCCACTCGTTTTGGGCTGGCTGTGTGGTGGCAGCTCCAGAAAAATGTCAGGTAACAACTGACTGGGTGCTCAGATGTTCCTTGCATACCGCCCCTTGGTGAAAACCACCTAGCTGTGCGCAGGCATCCGCCGCTACTACCGGACCGCTAGTTTTGGCTTATTGTTTCAGATATGGCTGGCTGCAGTTCGGCCATTTTGGTTTTGGATTCACCGGCAAGGGCAATATTTTTGGTTGGCTTGGCTTTCCACGAGTAGAGTGTTTTAGTTGATGTCAGAATCGGCATATTCTTCTTTGATGGAGTGTTTGCGTGTCTTGCAGTCGGGTAAATCGAAACCAAAGTCTGCCCACTCATCAGCGCCGTTCCGGTTGGGAATGGTGATGGTGTGACGCACCCGGAAATGTACGGCCTCCATGACGCGCTGGCGCTGAAGCTCTCCGGAGCTGCCGATAGAAATGGTGGAGGCGTTACTGCTGGAGCGGATTAGCTGTTGGGCGCCATAGTCGTGACCTTTGTTCAGCTCTTGGATTCCCCTCCAGATGACGGCTTTGTAGTGTTCTGGGATCTTCAGTGCTCCTAGATCCTGTCATGTAGAGGAGAGAAGGAGGAGCTCAGATCAGCAACTGCAATATTATTCCAACGCTTCAACGTCATTTAACCATTGATTCCTATACGGCAACCATTTCTAAATCTGATGACCAATCAACTATTCCCCACTGCAACAGCTTTTCTAAACGAGTCCCTTCATGTAATGTCTCCGCAGTATCATTGTGTGTTTTATCGCAGCAAATGTTAGAGTGACCCGCAGCGGTATTCACTTTGACTGGTGCCGCGCTTCACTTGCTTTGCACTACTACAACAGGAGTGGGCAGTACACCACAACACACATGCATTAAAAAAAGGGGTCTGTGTATTGCCCCGTGGTAAAGTGTACGCCCGTAATGTGGTGTCTTGCAGTGCACGTGTGGTAATGAGGCACTTATGCTGCAAATGTGTTATGGTTCCTATTACTGCCCCTACATGGGAGCCGAGCAGTGTAGGACTCTCCTGTGCTTCTCGGCGCCATCTAGTGGCAGTAATGAGCTGTGAACGTCACTTGCATAGATATACATTGTGTAAATGCATTATAAGTCGGCCCCATAGTGTAAACGGACCCGAAAGTGAATATAAAGACCATTTTTTTCAGTTTTGGACACTGTAGGGAAGGGTCAGATTCCCTGTCAGGTTTTACGGCCGTGTCCTCTCTGGGAAGAGTCACCACCTCTATTTTTGTCCTGGCGATCACTGGTCACTGAGACAGGAAGTGAGGGACAATATTAAAGTGACACTAAACTCAGGAGTTAAATCTTACAAATACATTCAAGTCCCTTTAACTATTAAATGGACAAATAGAGATGTGTCAACAGAGAAGGAGGGGAGGGGAAGTCCTTTAACTGGAACACCTGTTCCGGTGACAACTGTCTAAGATGGGAATGCCATTTATGTTGGTGGAATAATCTTACATTTCCTGTTGGCTCTCCCAAACACAGGAAATGAAAGGACATCTCCCTAATGGGACACAGACAGCAAAAAAAAACCTAAAAATCATCTCTTATCTATGTTCTTATCGTATCTGTATGTCATATTGGTGAATATCGATATGTCATGGTTTTCCTATAAATCAGAAATTATCTAATAACACTTTCCTTTTAAAATATCTACTAATCATTTATCCATATGTCTGTTTGTGTCTCTTAAAGCTGAACTCTGGGCACAATGTTCCCTTATACATATTCCTCAATGGCCACAGGGGATATAAATCTACTTTGTGTGCACCAAAATGTCTTTGCAGATCTAAAAGTAGCCGTGACATCATCACTGGGCTGTACATAGCCGATGCAGAGAGCAGAGCTGTGGGAGGAACCCAACAGGCTCCACCTACTACAGGCTTCCTACAGGAGGGGGCGGAGACCAGACCAGTCACCCTGCACAAGGAGGGAGTGCAGCAGTCTGTAGTACAGGAAGTTCCAAGTGTCGCACCGGATTACTGCACAGAGCCGGAGGAAATACACAAAGCTCACCGAGATTCCAGAAGAACACACATGACTCTTGTATGTAGGCTTATCCCAGAGTCCAACTCTAATATTCATGCAGCACTCACACTGCGCACCGCCACATATCTATCACTGTCTGTCTCTGATGGTCTGTTTAATATCTCTTTGCAGGAAGACCGTTACTTATTATCAGTCTCTCTCTCTATGGTAATGCTTTATTACACTGTAACCTAGATCAGGTCCTATGTCTCCTCCTCTATTCTAACACTTCCCCATGTTCCTATATCTGTGCAGTCTCTTGCCCATACACACCAAATCACTAGCGGAAGATACAAGCATGCTGGGACTAGGCGCCATGACATGTTAGCTCATGAAAATACATGACACAGGTTATCAGGACAGAATGGCTTGTGCTTCATGATTAGCAGTTTTCACTCAAGTATTTGCCAAAACAATGTAAAGATCACAACCTAGAACTGCAATACTATCAAATGTTCCTATGACGGCCTCTGTGTGCCTCTAATTCCATGTTTAGGCCTATGGCAGGGCGCACAGTCCAATCACAATTCAGCACTTGTCTATCTAACATTTAGAACAAATAGAGAACGTCTCCCTGTTTGAAAAGATCGGACCCAGCGGGCTCCTGGTAATGCCGCCATGTTTGTTTTATAGGCAATGAAGATGGAAGACGAATGAGATTGGGAGAAGAGCTACAAGACAGAATCATGTGTAAGGGATGCCTTGGAGGGCACACGGCTCTAACGCTGACACTGACCAATCATGGGAGGGGAAGAATTATAGCCGTTGGTCTATGTTTGGGTCTAAAATACAGAAGCATCACATGAAAACCCAAAGCATGTGATAAGGAACTTCGCTGAGGCCAGAGGAAGCCTGGAAATGTTACAATGACACCAATAAAAACTGAGAGACTTGTGGATTCTGCTATTGCTGGGGCTCTGGGGCATACATCGTGATCCCGCCACTCTCCTTGAACAGGACTTTACTGGCTGCATGCTTGTTCAGGGTCAGTGTCTCACTAGGTAGTAAAACCAGGATCAGGTTGACAGTCCCACAGAGTTTATAAATCAAGTCTTCAACTACTACCATTGTTCCTTTAGAAATTGCTAATCTTCTGGCTGGATGCTGATGAACGGGAAAATGAAAGAATTCAGAAGCTCTGAATGACTCGGGGTTAGCATGGCAGCCAGGCAGTTAGTATTTGTAAAAAGAAGAGTCCCTCCATGTTTTTTTTTTTTTTATGACTGGTTCCTGTTAGAGAGACTCAGTCACCTTGTTCATGCCGGGCAAAGTAAGGCCCCTTTCAGACCAGCCGTCCGATCAGGTCCTCCTGTCAGTTTTTCAGGTGGACTCAAACGGATGCCCAATGTAAGTCTGTGGCCAGCTGGATCTATATGGACGGGTGTCTGTTTACATACGGTTATCCCCCGCTCCAGCCAGACCCAGAAGGACCAATAGAACAGTGTTCTAGGATATATATATATTTATATTTGCATAAGCAACCTCAGAACTCCAGCTGCTGTAGAACTACAAATCTGGTGAGGCATTGGAAGAGTTTGAAAGCCATGACTCCCAGAGGAAGATGCATTATGGGATTTGTAGATTCACTGCAGCTGGAGTGCTGAGCTTGCCCACCCCTGGTAATGGCATTTCTAATGTAGTGCCCCCATCAACCCATCAGGTGTTTGTTGACTACAGACAGATCAGGTTATAAATATTCTTGGTGGGCTGGTCAATGGGTTGTAAATCTTTGGCAGCTCATTTCATGGCTGAGTGGCCATTTTGGGATTTTCGGTCCTGCTAGGGAGCTATGAATGGGGAGATGAGATGACCTCTGGCACTGCCAAGTTGGGCTATACTCACTGCAAAACCCGAAACCACATTTCTCCCCTACAGGATTATTCAATAAGGCAAGACACAGTAACACATTCAAGTATAATTAGTTTCCCTGAAGGTGAGATATTAAAATGTCTTTTTCTTTCTTCATCCCTAGCACAAAGTCTTCCCTCCTGGCTGCAGATACAGACCCCGGCTCTCTGTGTAGGAGCCTGACACGTCCCCGGCTCTCTGTGTAGGAGTCTGACACGTCCCCGGCTCTCTGTGTAGGAGTCTGACACGTCCCCGGCTCTCTGTGTAGGAGTCTGACACGTCCCCGGCTCTCTGTGTAGGAGTCTGACACGTCCCCGACTCTCTGTGTAGGAGTCTGGCACGTCCCCGGCTCTCTGTAGTGTGTGCATTGGAGTCCTGTGACCTCACAGAGAATCGTGGCCTTTATCCGCAGCCAACCCTTAGGGTGCTGGGTGATGAACCCCCTCAGGGTGTTAGAGGATTATTAAACTGAAAACAATGACAACATTTAAAACGTTTTACAGCGCTCCCAACATTTCTATTTAGTTTTAAAGGACATCTAAACCCCAAAAACAAATTGTTAATATATTGCAGCTTACTAGTCCTTAGATGTGAGGGCTGCATTCGTTTTCGGACTTTGGGTTCAGATAAGCTTTAAAACGAAACTACAATTGGGCGTTAAAGTAGAACTGAAGCCAACACTCTTTTTAGTTTGGGATAGAGTAGGGAGGAATTAGAGCCCCTGTATGTTTTTTTTTTTTTGTTATTGCTGTCTGTTTCCTCGTTAAGGAGATCCACCGTCTCCATTTGTCCCAGTGCCTGTTATCACAGAGTCGGAGGGAAAGAAAATCCCAAATTTTGAGTTGTCGGCAGAACAGGATTGGAAGGGAAGTCTTCCAATAGGGACATTGGTTCTGCTGACAACAGGGATTTCCACTTTGTTCCTGTTGTGGCTACAGAACAGGAAGCTAAATCTCCCCAATGGGACAGAGATGGTGAAGAAGAAAAAAATCAACAGGGGTTATAGACCTCCCTTCCTCTATCCGAAATGAAGAAAAACAGTTTTAAATTAGAACTATGGGGTCAGTGCCTTTCCCCCATAGTTCTCCTAAGGGTAACGGGAGGACACAAACTAGCGTCCTCCTGTCACCCAAAGCTCAGTATATAGGGAGCTGCAGCTCGCGTTATACTAAGACCGCCGCAGCCGGGACAGATCCCGACATTACTGTCAAGATCCACCCAGGTGTGTGAGTGACAGCTGGCTCTGCCTATCTAGAGGCCGAGCCAGCTGTACCCGCTCCCTCCCCCGTCCGTTCCTCCAGTCAGCGCTGGAGGATTGGACAGGGGAATCCCTGCAGGGAGCAGTGAGTGACAGTCACGGCTCTCTGCAGCGAGATGATCGAGAAGTAATCGAGCGCCGGTATGTGTTCGCTCACTTCCCGATCTATTGAGCCGACCTGTGACAGTCTCATTGTCACCGGTCGGTTAGAACTATGAGGCTGAGTGACTTTCACTCGCCTCATAGTTCTCCTTTAACTTTAGCTTTACTTGGGCGATCCGTGACTTGGGCAATCGTACACAAAACCGCACGGTCACGGAATCATGCTGGCGGTGCTATTATTTTCTAATGGCATCCCAGTCGCACCAGGCAGATCGCACGGATTCCATTTGTGCGCATGATTGTGGTTGGATCTTTTTTCCAGCGATTGCCGTGGATGTAACCCCATTGAAGTCAATGAGGCCACCGCACCCGGGATCGCAGAAGTCTGCACCAACCCTTACACTAAAATCAAGATGCAGTGGATTACTTCACTGTCAATATTGTCACTATGTGTATTGCTTCATTGAACAATCTCAGTGTATTTAGACTTCAAGAAAGAAAGCTGCTTTCTGATTGGTTGCTGTGGGCCACGGCCCACCTCTGCATGCCGCCCTACAATGATCTGTCTGCAGCCTTATCATTCAATGGTCTCCAAGCATTTACCTCCATAGTTAGGTTCTGCAGGTGGTAAATATTCTGTAACCCTTGTGATGTGAAATATTCGATGCAGTTTGGACACCCCAGTCCTGTCAAAAAACTGCAGAAACAAAAAATGTGGAAAACAAAAGCAGGATTAACTCAAACACACCACAGGCTCTCATGTTATCTTCGACTTAACAACAGGACATGATCTGAATGGGGGTGATGTCACCCGAGAGCTTTTACAGTCAAGTCATTCTCAGAAAATCATCTCAGAGTTTGCTCAGCGAGCTGAATGTGCAAGTCCATGGGGAGGGCCGGAACCCTCTTTGGAGGACTGTAGCAGATATTTGTGACCCTGAATAGCTCTCGAGTCATATCACCCTCAGGGTTTAACTATGCATAAGATTTATTTCACTACGCAGCATGAGATTCCCCCGTTCCAAAATACACAATCCAAAGCGAAAGACGGGCTGTGCTCTGAGAAAATTCAAATGCTGGTAACTTTATTCATTTGGCCAATATGAACAGAGATTTCCCACCTGGCATCTCCTCCTCTAATGCATTTCACCCACAAGGCTGGGCCACTTAATCTTGGAGATGAGGATGAGCAGGTAAGGCAGTATAATATATATATATTATTATATATATATATACAGTATGTGTATACACACACACACACACTGTATGTGTATATATAAATAATCTTAATTATCTCATGCTTTACCTGTTCCTCTGGCCCTCTACAGTTAAACCAAGCCATGTGGGCGAAATGCATTGGGGAGAAGGGGATGCCAGGTGGGGACACTCTGTTCTTATTGTCCGAATGAATAAAGTTGCCAGCTGTGGTTTCTTTTTTTTTCGAGGGCAGTCAGTCTTCTTTGGATTTGTGCAGCCTCTGGGACATAGGACGCGCCCCTGCTGGTGTTCAGCACCCACTTTTTCCATGAGGGTGACCCAATTTAGGGCTTGGGAGCAGCGTACCCCATACTTCTCTCAAACTTTTGTAAAGGAAAAAAAAAAAAAAAATCTTGGAAATGCTACACCAGGAGCTGGGCTCAGGCTGGTCAGTGATGGAGCAATTGAGCCCTGGAGACTCCAACTGGACAAGTAAAAAGAAAGTACCTCCTAGCAACTACATCACTGATCTCATCTAAGCTGAAATGGTTCCCTTGCTTCTATTTATCTGAGCTGCCCTGAGGATGGTTGTTTGCGCTATCAATTTTGGCTAGATGTGTTAAATAGCCCGCATTCTTGTTATATGTCTGGGGGGCCCCAATGTTAAGATGGTCACACCTATATTTTTGCACATCTAACCCCCCCTAAGTCTTTGCCATGATGGGGGAAGTGAAATGCATGTGTGAGATTGTCCGGAGATAACACACCCAGGAAATTGTAGTCTCCGAGTCAGACACTAATCAATGGCAATGTATTCCTTTTGAAGGGTAACTCTTAAGCAGTCATCACTCCCAGCCATACTTTCATTCTGCTGCTAGTGTGGCCCTTGTTATACAGAGGTAATGGGCATCCATTCACCCAATTTCTTGACACTGACAACTCCCACTTTGCCACAGTATCAGACTCTGCAGACCCCCCCACCCACATGGCTGCCTAACCCCTAAAAGGCTGACCTCTGGATGGCAAAAGTACAGATAGGACCGAACAAATATTTTCAAATTTGCATTTTAATTTAAACTTTTCTGATCAAAATGTAAATGAAGATTTCACACACTGACATTGGTCTTTCACTGCTGCGGCCTGACCACCATGGCGCAGAGATTTGAAAGAACCAAAATGTGCCTGTCTATAAAAAGGTCAGTTGACGGTATCCATGGATTCGAGCACTGCGTTTTCAAGAACCACCATGGCATGAACATATTGTCCTGGGTGAGCCTTCCCTTGGGGTAACTATAGCGAGTGGCAACTACTATCCATCAGTTCCCTTTGATTGGCTCAGGGGTGCCAGTACAAGTTGTCAGTGGCCAGTTGTCACCTGATCTGTCACTAAACCGATGAGGTGATGATGATCTATGGACACCAGAAAGCCACATGCAGTACTATTCCCTAATAATCTTTTGGTCAGTGAATTCTCAGACAGTCTTGTTCATAGAGGAATATAAAACTGAAAAACTGCTTGTGTTTCCTGATTTTCCATTCCATGCTGCACTGGATACTCCAAAGAATCTAGTTGCTATTCCTAACAAAGACTGTCACTCCCACACACAACTACACTCGCTTCTCATCATATTAGCACTGCTCCTGGTTGTGTGACAATTTCCAAACTAAGCAAAGTAACATCCAGCATACCAGGACTTCTACCTGCAAAGAACTGCCTAATCCAGTCCCGCAAGGCACTCGTTCCTCACCCACAACTAAACATGGTTAAAAATGATCAGAACACTGTGTATAGTCCTGAATGAACTCCTGTGTGTGTGTGTGTGTGTGTGTGTGGCTTTAAGATGGACGGCTTTGTATGGTCTGACTGTAGGACAAGTAAGGCCGATTCAATCAAACAGAAGTAGAGCTGCTGCCTAAAGCAACCAAAAGTCTTATCTGGGATGTGGAATCAGGTAGGGTCCAATTCTATCTGGGGACACTTTCTGTGCTCTGGCCGTGTTGGTCTACATAACCTACCAGTACGTTTTAGGGTTGTGGGAGGCAAATTAGCATCTGACCCGAAAGTATCCACATTTCTAATGCAGGGATTAGTACTTTGGAGGCATGGAAATCACAAAATGCAGCACGTTGCTGAAAACCCTTCAGCTGTGGCTTTATGAAGTTGCAACTTCCTGTCCCCATGCTTGTTGTAAATATATTTCATGCCGTAGTGGCCTGTACTGTTGCCTTATTAGTCTCCTGGTATGAAAGTGGCTTTGTCTATGACAACCAGACACACTTTGCCTTTTATTTAGAAGAGTCTGGTTGCTACAGCTAAACAGAGTCCCCAGACACCTTCCTACAACAAGGCCTGCTGAGCCGAATGTGACCTAGTTATTCATGTTATTCCTATGCTGGGATGTCAGTACTGATCATGGAGTTAGCGTGTTACTCTAGTTAGAACACACAGTTATAAAACAATGCTTCTGGATTAGGTGGCATGCAGGGGCACAGGTCTCACAGAGCAGTGATCAGGGTGCAGCGAGCATACCTGACTAGGCTGGGATCTGCGTTGTACGGCGGTGGAGGAGTACAATGTGATCCGGAAACCATGGACTGTGATGAATGCGCTCCATTCATGTCTCCATTTGATTGCATGGAGTGGTTGTTCACCATCCCCGAGCCTGAAGGTGATAAAAAAAAAAAGAAGAAGGACATTCATTATAGAGGCAGGCACATAATAGTTCAAGCTTAACTGGAAAATGCTTTAGCTTGTGTCAACCATTATCTTTCTCAGGTACCCCCCATAAAGTGAAATCTATTTCCTGGGGATTATTATATTTTGCTGAATCTCAGCAGTAGCTGAATAAGGCTCGGAGGGTGGAAATGATTGTGCATTAAAGTGCATAGGTGCAAGTGGGGCCTTAGAGTGTAACTGCACCTTTGGTGAACCTACACTTGCATTGCACAGTCCCCCGGCTAGTCATTTCATATTCTTTTTCTATATATTTCATATGACAGAATTCATAAATACAACATAATGACCTAAACATGAGATATTATAGATGACAGAACAATGCACCTTGAATGATTTAAGAGGAAAAATAGTCACGTAGGGCATAATAGTACCGAGAAAAGTGAAGCCAGGCTGGTTGCAGGATGCATAAAAACAAATAGATATTGGTTATGGGCCATTAGGATATAAGACATAGATAAGTACTGTGTTGTTGGTACTTGGGTAACTGAAAGTGCAAAAGGCCATGAACAAGTACAATAAGATAGACCACAGAGTATGATGGCTGTAACCATGGGTTAGTTATTTCCTCTGTCAGAATACAGGTAAGAAAAAAGATAGAGGGGAAAGGAGGAGAGAGAGAGAGAGAGAGAGAGAGAGAAGAAGAGAGAGAGAGAGAGAGAGAGAGAGAGAGAGAGAGAGAGGAGGAGAGGGAAAGAGAGAGAGAGAGAGAGAGACTAGTGGAGATGGAATGCATCCAAGCAGTAACTCTTCATTCAGTTCTATGATAAGTTTGTGCGTCTGTCAATAGGAGAGGCATAGAGGGAATATTCCATTAGAGACATCTAAGAAAAGCTTTCCCTTCACCTTGGAGAGATTTCTTCTCACTTCCTGCTGTGTGGAAAGTGAAAGTGAAGGAAAATTCAGAGTTAGGACTTACCGGTAACTCTATTTCCATTAGTCTTCCAGGACAGCATCACGAGATGGAATCTCCTCCCCCACACACAGGAAACACGTCACTTAATCTGCTTAAAAGACCCTCCTCTCCTCCACTCCCTCAGTCATCACGAGAACCGAAGGCAAGCTGGAAAAAGACAAGGCACAAGCAGGCAATACCACTACATCACATTAACACTACAAGCATCAATGGGCGGGCAGTTGCTGTCCTGGAAGACTAATGGAAATAGAGTTACCGGTAAGTCCTAACTCTGAATTTCCCATAACGTCTTCCAGGACAGCATCACGAGAGGATAACCAAGAACTTACCAATTAGGGCGGGACCACAGCTTGTAGTACCTTCCT